TAGAAATGCTTAAATTTGATCCTGTAATTAAATTTAAAAATATTTTTTCCGAAAAGGAATATTTTTTAAAGGAAAAAAGAATAACTATAGACAATGCTTTGAAACACACATTTTTGGAAGATGGAAGAATGCGTTTTCATTCAGTAAATATTTTTTTAGTAAAAAATATTTTTATTAAATTATCACTTTATTTACACAATTTCGGTAATACTGATATCATACAAAATATTTTATTTCCCTTATCTAAAAAAATTTTTTTTATCTCAATATTTAGTGTATGTGTTCCTGTTGTCACTCAATTACGTAAATTTTATTAATTTTCTCCCCCCTCTAAATATTTTTTTAAAGTTTTCATGGAAGGAGAGAACGTGTCTTTTGCTTAGAACTTGATCCTGTGGTAAATTTAAAATTTTTTGTTTGTTTTAATAACTATTAATTAAAGCATTCTAATCCCTTTGATGCCCAGTGGGAAAAGGAAATGTCTTTAAAATCGATGTTCCAATTTAGAGAAATTCTTTATGATTATATTACAAAGGTAGACAATTTTTAAGTTTGTAAATTTTTTGTAATTCTGATTTTAATTTTCAAGTTTATTTTAATTATTTCACTGTAATTCTGCAGTTCTGCAAATCAGAATTGTGATTCATTTTTAACTACAATTTCGCAATTTGTAATTCTGATTTTATTTCAAGTTTATTTTCTCAAGACATAATTCTGATATCAATTTTTAAGTTTTATTTTTACAAATTGTAATTTTGAAATTTACAAATTGTAAAATTCTGATTTTAAGTTTTACAATTATTTTTGCAATTTGTAATTCTGATTTTAATTTTTTAATTTCTCCACCTTTTAATTAACTCAACATTTCAAGTTTATTTTTCAGCGTAATCCCCTTTATGGCATTCCTCTTTGTATAAATACTAATGCTGCCAGTTATGGCGAATTTGTAAGGTAAATTTCTATATTAGTTAGGTAATTAGTAATTAAATTTAAATAAAAATATTTTTTTAAATAATTAAATTTAAATAATTAATTTATTTAATTTAAAGTTCAACAGTTGCCCAGCCATCTGAACTGCCACCGAGTCCTAATGCTTGGCAATAAATATTTTTTAAAATAATGTCTTTTTTTAATCTTGGAATTGTATTTTAATATTAATACAGTTATATATTTTCAAGTAATCAGAAAATTCGAAAAACTTTAAAATTACAATTTGTAAATTTTAAGAAACAGAATTTCCGAGTAACTTGAAAATAAAATTGTAAAAATTGAAATTAGAATTACAAATTGTATTTTATTCAAGTTTTGACTGTATTACAAATTATTTTTCCATTTTACTTCTTATAATATACAATTTGTATATTTTCTGTATTTTTATCTTATTATTCTCAAACCTAAAAATCTAAAATAAAAATACTGCCAGCACATAATTTACAAACTTAATAATTTTGTTCCTCTTTCAACATTTATTCAGTGCTTTCAACAATTTTATTTTAAAAATAAATATTTTTCTTTTTGTATTTTTTACTTAAAAAAACTAAAAACAGATTTTATACATATATTAATTATCTAAAAACAATTTTTTAAAATTATTTTTAAACCTACAACAGAATTAGAATTTAAAAAAATTAAATTAATAATTTAACTCTAAATGGGTTTATTTTATATATTTCTCCCTTAATATTATGTTGTAGAACATTGTTTTTAAAATTATTTATTTAGATGAATACTATTAAATGTAATAACACATGGACAATCAAAAACGTAATGAAGATTGTTGGACATGTTGAAAATGATAGAAAATTGAATTTGACAAGTAATCTAAATATTAAAATTAACTTCCCCGTTTGTATTCAAATTAACTATCCTTCTAAAAGGGATTAGATATAGTAAAGTGTATAATTTGTTCCTAAACATATGTATGATTTGTATGATATTTTCTATTTCGGAACCTATAGCCATCGTATCATAGAACATGTGTTATTCGTTTATTGTGTTATTCCTTATATGTAAAAGTTTATGCTTCCTATATGTAAAATTTTTTTAATTGGTTTGATTTTAGTTTCCTTTAAATTTTCGATATTAAAAATTTTTTTTCACTAGTAATTTTGTAGAGTGGACTCGCGGCAGTTATTCCACATTTTATCTTATCTGGCTTCGCCAAATTGAACCGAATAGCGCTAATGATCTGGTAAATACTCAGTACAGAATTTATGTTTATATAAATGGCGTATATAAAGATATAATAAGGTTTTCAATATTTTTTCAAAAAATCCTTTTATATACTCAAGCTCAACACAAAAATTAGAAAATCGAGACAAATTAGGATATACTAAATTTGACATGTATAACTTCTATAATAATTCTGATGGTATGTTAGGATACTTGAGGCATTTAAAATGTAATTTTAGATTGCCTTTATCTTCATTGTGATGTCGAAGCTGACTGTTATAATTCTATCATTAATTTACAAAACAAATATAGTAATATGTTGGAAGGAGAGATATTAACAGATTGTGTTATTAAGGTGGGTTTTTAAGATTAGAGTAGTTTATAGTCGTTTGATTGAAATCAGAATCAAGTGTGAATAAACAGACAATAGGGGGCAATTATGTAGAGATAAGAAATATTTTTTAGATTGGTGAAGATTCCATAAAAACACACCGTTGTATTTTGGCAAACAACAGTAAAGTGTTTCAAAAAATGTTCGAGCAAAATGGAATGATTGAAGCACAAAAAGTAATGATATTATAAATATTTATCGTGGATTATCTAGCGCAATACCAACAAAAAATGAAACGCCAAAAACAATACAAAACGCAATGCGCTATCCCTGTTATTACGAATTAGTATATTACTTTAAATTTGAAATATTGTCCTTATTGCTAAGAATCAGGGCTGCGCAATACCAAAAAGATTCTGCAACTCGCAATTTTTATTTTAAAATCTGCAACTCACAATCCGCAATTGCGTTTGCAGCCCTGTTAGGAATAGTGCTCGGTAAAATTGGATTTGTGACTTAAAAATATATTTAAAATGTAAAAATATTATTGAATTACAAAAATTAAACTTGAATTTTACAGCTAATTACAAATATTTTAGAAATTTTTTCATTTAAAAATAGGATAAAGAAAGGATAAAATAGACTGGATAAAATTTATTTTATTTCAGGGTGAAGTTATAATTTCTGATTTTTATCCAGAATGTGTTAATGCAATGCTAGAATTTTTTTATAATGGCAAAATTAAAAAAGGTATTTTTATTCGAAAATTTTATTACCTTCACAAATAATTTAAAGGCACTCTAGAAAATTATGTTGAGGATATTTATGCTATAGCACATAAATATCAAGTGGATACGTTAAAATATGAATGCGAAATTTTTATGTATAACTTGATTGGTAAGGGGGAAATAAACTCAAGTTTTAAATAAAAATTACGTAATAAAATTACGTAAAAATAAAGATCTATAGTGACGTGCGAGACCGAAAATCTTCCAAGATCAAGGCCAAGACTAGACCCCAAGACTCAAAACTAAAAATTAACAAGACTCAAGACAATTTTTTGGTCCCATAGGGCAAATTTTTCGTTTATTTTTTGTTACTTAGACAAGAGCACCTCAAATTTTGAAGAATTTATAGGAAATATAATCAAGACTAGATATAATCAAAACTTTTAGTTTATTTTTTGTGCATTCAGAATAATCACCTATAATTTCGAAAAGTTATGCGAAATTCAAAGAATTTCGAAGAATTTATCCGGTTGTAATATCATTGGAATATATTATTTCAGAGAATTTGTTTGGATTAAGGCGTTATCGAGGGTGTGTAAATTTTGTGTGTAAATTTTGAAAGCTCAAAACAGTTGAGACCAAGACTTCACCCCAAGACCGAAAAAACCCCAAGAAAAGCCAAGACTCAGGACCAAGGGTCTCGGACGTCTTTAATATGTAGTACCAAATAAACCTTAATTGTTTAGATGATAAGAAGTTTTTAAAATATTGTGATATTATTAATTTGTACGACGCTCCAACTTTTGAGAAGGTAAATTTTACAAAACAAATTTATTTAAATTAATTTAAAGGGTTGTAAAATTTATGTTCGTATCAACAAAGATCGTCTTTTAACTAGCGAATTATGGACTGAAGTTGAAAATAAATATCCAAAATTAGCTTTTCGATTTTTGAAATCTGTCATTTTTGATAATAAAAAGTAATTGTTAACGTGTCGTTAACAAGTAAAATTTTCAATGTTAATTCTTTTTTAAATTTGTATGGTGAAACGGGCAAAAAACTTATTTCTGCATCTTGAGAAATTTTTATGAATATTTATTGAAATACAATTATTTTATAAAACCGGCAGATTTAATAGGTTTTATGTTATCTATTTTTTCAAAATTTCATGTATTTTTAAATTTTTCGTTTATATTTTTTGGACATTTAGTAAATACATACATACGTCATATAGGTATACGTCACAGGCTAACAAACACATGCCACAAAATTGATTTTTCCCTATGCTTTTTTCATGTGTGTTTACTTGCCATATGTAATAGTAGCTTCTATTTAGTCCATTTTATGTTTCCTTTAGGAGAAATTTTATCGACAAAATTTTTTAGCAACATTCTGACCCTATTATTATTTATAAAAAAACAAAAAAAACTAATTACAAATAGGGTAATAGTAAATCCAAAATCGGTTTCTTAATTTAGTAAATCAACAAGTTTTTCTAGTTCTATATTTCCATTTCCAGATTTTCACAAAAATTTTTTTTGTCATTTTCCAGAGGGTCCTAGTTAAAAAAGTTCGCGTTCTACACAGTTCGAATACCACAATACTACCAAAAATTCTGGACGATGTTTTCTTAATTTCTAGTTGTCCCCTTAATTCCTCGATAACCCCGCCTTGATCCATTGATATTTATTACTATTATTAGTTTCCGGTACAGGAAAAATCATTTACTTTACACTAAAAAACTTTTTTTTGTTTAAATTAATTTAGAATTTTTATGAACTTAAATTATTACTTAAATAAATACTCAAATAACAAATTAAATATGTTTCAAATAATTTTATTAATTTTGGAGTTTATAGCTTTAATTGTAAATTTTTAATTTATTTTTAAATTTTTAATTTTAAATTAAAGTTTTTGGTTTGTTCCTTCTTTCTCGATAAAACTCCAAAAGAAATTTTTTCAAAAATATTCAGGTCTACTTAAATTAAATATATAAATTTTTGTGAAATTTTACAGTTTTATAAAATTTAATTCTGCCAAATGTTTTTTGGATGATTACGATTCTGAAGCTTTAAAAAATAAATTTAATTACAAAGTTTGTGTATATTTCATTAGTAAAGAGAAAAATGGGGTGAAATTTTAAGAGTTTTGATCTAGTACATTTTAAAAATATTAAAAAAAATTTTTCAGATTTTGTTTTTCTTAAAAATACTTATCTGCCTTACTAAGGGGATTTTGAGTTATATTTTTTTATTAATTAAAATTTTTTTTAAAGATTAATACAATTACTTGCAAAACTGAGTGGAAATTAGATGGTTTTAGAGATGTTCTCAGTATTTACAGCTACAGAGGGCCTGTAATTTTAACAAGTATAGTTTTCTTTTTGGATTTTCAATAAGCTATAATTACACAGAAAGGGTTTGAACTAGAGACAGGACTTGAAGGCTGTACGAGAATATAGATCGATATCTGGGTTGGTAACGATTTTTGTTCGTTATCTCGTCTTAATCCAGTTTGTTTAAACACAAATAAAGAGCTTTAACGAAAAGCAAATTTTGGCTTCTTTTTCATGTATTCCTTCGATTTTGAAGCCTTAAAAAATAATTAATGGAATTTTTTTATTAAAGGGGTAGAAAAATTATCAAATCATGACATTTTCTTGATCACAGCCTTTTTACAGTTTGTAATCACTCGATTTTTGATTTTTACGAGAGTCTTTTTCTAATTAAAATTTGTCTGTACTATACATATTTTCTACTATTTTATTTAAATTAAAAAAGAATTTTTTTAGGTAACAAATTTAATTGTCGAGAACTTCCTAATGTTTTTTGGGAATTATACTTTGAGATTGGAAAGAAGGATTGGCGAAATCCCAATCCCAATCTTACTATCTGGCTTCGTCAAACAGGCCCAAACGGTGTTGGGGGGCTTGTAAATACTCAATATAAAATTTACTCAGTGAAGGATGAAAATGAGAGAATATATATTTCCAAGTTTAGAAAGAATTTTTTTAATATTAAATAATATTTTAAGATCTTCAAATAAACCTGAAAATCAGGATATGTTGGGATATACTTTAATTAACAACTTAAACCATTTATGCCATTCTGATGGTATGTATATGTTAAATTTCGTGAAGGGCTAGGGATGGTTCCGCGTGAAATCTTGCGGGGACTGTCCTTTTCTGTCCTTCAAGAGCTTTTAGAAAAAAAACAATTTTACCGATCTCTAGTTAAAATACATATAACCTAATAAGAAACCAATCTGAAAGCAACTTTTGAGCCAAAAATATAAAGGGGTGTGGAAACTACGGTTGAAACTGGGTTTGATTAAAGTATGATTCCTGCAGTTATACTAAGAAGCTACAAATGGAATTTCGTAAATTTTTTTCGATTGCGGACAGCTCTGATCCCGAGACTTTAAGAAGTTCTGATCCGGCTTTAAGTTATTACAGCTATTTTCCTTTTCCAAAACTGAATATTTATGTTAAATTTTTTTTCAGGCTCTTTATACCTTCATTGTGAAGTTAAATTTGACACTTTTACTTCAGAAGACAGTTTTGATATTAATTACAGCAATTTTTTTGAAGACGAAATACTTACAGATTTTTTAATTAAAGTGTGTTTCTAGAGATTCTTTAAGGAAGTAAATTTTATTATTTTTAAAGGTAGACAAAAATGTTATGAAAGTACATCGTTTTATTTTAGCAAAAAACAGTAAAGTATTTTATGCAATGTTTCAGGAGAAGGAGAAGAATATGACTGAAGAAATTGTAATTTATTTATTGTAATTTGAGGGAAATTGTAAATGAGTGGAGTTGTCGGTTCCTGGAAATTCTTCGGATATCCGAAAAATCCTTGGTTCTTCGGTTCGGAAAATCCTTGGTTTAACCCTATAAATGAGTAATAGATTAGCGGGAATTTTTGATATAGCTTAAATGGCAACAGAAATCTTCTAAAAATTCTCCGTAAAAACTGCTGAGATTTTGTTGAAAAATCACTGATAACTCCTAATATACCGACATGTATATGTATAACGACATTAGAGTTGTTGACGTTCGCATGATCGAACCGAAAACCGGTATTTTGTTTAAGTAACCGAAAAAACCTTGGGTCGAAATTCGGGATTTCAGTTAATAAATTCACTGTCTAGAGTTTTCCACAATTATGTAGAAGGCAATATAATGGGACAACTGTATAGCGCATCGAATGAACCTAGGGTTTTATATAAAATAGGGATATTTCGAGTTAATTTTAAAAAGTAAGTAATTTTTTAAAGAATGAGTTGACAATATCTAATTTTACCTCACAAAGTGTTCAAAAAATGTTACAATTTTTCTACACTGGCGAACTTGAAAAAAGTTTTTCTTTTAAATAAACAATTTTAATTTTCTTTAATTTTGAGATTTAACGGAAAGTCAGCTTGAAGAAATTTTTGTTATTGCGCATGAATATCGAGTTGCACGATTAATATATAAATGCGAAATAGTTATGTCAACATTTATAGGTAAGAAATTAAATTTTTCGGATAAATGTAGGAAGGGGTTCTGAAATTATTCGACTTCACTTAAACTCCTATGAATAAAATTAGTAATGCACCTACGGGTACTTAAATCCATTATACTTAAACACAATCAAGAATACAAGCATCTACATAGTTTACTAATAAAAACGGGCATGCTCAGATACGGATATATCCGCGGATCGGACAGATACTGATATGATGGTCATATCCTTAAAATATCTTCAAAATAACAGTACAAATTAATAATGCAACTTGCCCCCGACATTTTTGCCATTTTGTTTGAAATCCCCTTCTACCTTCCTTTTATATTTTGTGCCGAGAAATTTATAACCTTGAATAAGCCTGCCTAAGAGTAACAAAAATTAAAAAAAAGTTTTCATTTATTTTTCAGATACTAAAAATATTTTGAAATACTTCAAAATAATTAATGTTTATGATGCTCCGATTTTAGAGAGGGTAAAAAATTAATTAGTTTTCAAATCTAAAATTTAATTTTAAAGGGATGTAAAAATTATATTCGAGACAATAAAGAATTCTTTCTAAAAACTAAAGAATGGGAAGAAGTTGAAAAAATTTTTCCAAAATTGGCTTTTAAAATTTTGAAGTCTGCAATGCACGAATTGTCAAATTAAAGAAATGATTCTCTCGTTAATTTAAAAGAAATCTGTCTTTGATTTTATAACTTTTTTGACTAAAAATAAAAATTTGTATTAATTTTTTATAAAATGTTTTTTAAATAAATCTTTACTATATGTATTTAGAACACAAAATTAAAAACGTTTTTGGAGCTGCGGTGAGGCTGTTTCTATTAGGCATGTATGAAACGCCTGGTTTTATTTTTCAGTCTTGTTTCGCCTGAAAAAATTTTTCTTTAAATACGTTTTGTATAAAATATAGATAGGTTTTTTAAAATTTGGTTTGAGGTAGAGGGAACTGCAAAATTGAAGCTTATAATTTTAGATACATCTCATAAGTTTGATTTTTTATGCTGAATTTTCGGCTCAACATTGAATGAATTAGAGCCATCCTCAAATAGTTGCAATTGTCGAGCACTGCTTTCCTATGAATAGAACTCGATATTTATCATGAATAACAAAAAAATTTTTCAAAAAAATGTCTGGTATTTTATCTATATTATTATCATTTTCTCACTTAAATATTTTAAATAATTTATTAAAGGCAATATATTTTTCCCACAAAAATCCCTCCATATCTACATTTTAGCTAGCTAGTAGCCTATTCCCCTCATTTTCCCATCATTCTATAATGGATTTGTTCTTTCGCCTGCTACCACGACGACTTCCTTATCCAACAAATAAAGCTCTTCTCTATTTGTTAGTATGTATTTTCTTTTCTTTCTTGCTCTGCTAGTTTGTCGGCTGGCACAAGAAAAAAAAATTCTTCTTTTCTAGCAGTTATTGGTCTATTTGGGAGTGGGTTGTTAGGGCGCGAGCTTATAAAATTGTTAATTGATTATATAAAAATATAAAATTTTGTAGAAATAATCCCCGTAAGTGTATCTACGTTTTCCAAAAATTTCAGAATTTTTGGTCCTATATTTCAGAAATTATGACCAAAAATTCGGGGGGATTACTCAAAAACGCCTAATTTTTCTTTGTTTATCGACTATAATTTTTGAAGTATTTGAAAAAAATTCTAAAAAATTTCTGGAAAGATGGCCAAGGACGTAACAAAAATTTGAGATAATTTTCAAAATTTTAAGTTCCGCCCAAGTCTCAATTTTAAAGCGCGCGCCCAAACGGTCCAGACGCACAAAGGGCCATCTTTAAGCTTTACCTCCCCCCTATGTTACCTCGTTTTCTTCTTTCCTTTCCTTTACATTCTTTCTTTATTCTCCTCAATTTGGCACCTTTAAAAGGTTATTTTATATAAGGTTTCAATACTAAATAGTCACACACACGAAATTGCCCTCATAAAGCCGTTTTAAAATATTTTTTGCCTTCATTTATGCGCTTCATTGGCCATTCTAGCGACATTATTTTACCTTTATAAATTGATTGCTTTAACTATTTTTCCTTTTCTTTTTTCCCTCACTCCCTTTCTAAACCTTCAATGACCAAATAAAAAATAAAACCAACCAACACATTTTTATGAGGAAAATTGCCTTGCCTTCTTGCTTGTTAAACACTCTTTATTATATAATATTATTTAATTGTACATATATTTAATGGTTAGTGCCAGATACCAAAATTTTATATATTTTTTTCTTTAAATTTTTGAACGAGAATTTTATAAAATTTATTTAAATTTAATATTTTTATTATGTATCACACGTCATTATCCTTAAAATTATAAGGAGGAACACCTTAGTTACAGAGGGGGCGTAAATTAGAATAATTAAGGAGAAATACTAGCTTAAGCTCTGCGGATATCTTGGCCTGCTCCCAAAATAGTCATGTCAGTTAAGAACCGGACCGAAGAGCCAAGTCCGGTTTAACCCTCTTTTGGATGCTTATAATTTCATTTATTAATAAGTAGGAGACTTGTGGAGAGATAATATCCCATATTGCACCTTTACTATAATTATGTCTCCCCATTTATTTAAAAAATCGACCATTTTAATACCTTTTCTCACATTTAACTTTTTTTCTTTTATTTGGCCAATTTTAATAATTTTTCCTTTCAATTTATTTTTGTTAAAATGCCTACCTATGATTGCTTAGAAATAATAAAAAAGAATCCCACAAAAATCTCCCCTGCCCCCCTTTTTACAAGGAAGTGGGAAAGAAGCTTTACAACAATAAAAAATGTATTTAATAAAAGAAAAAGGGAAAATTGTTGAAAATTAGATTTTTAAAAGAAAATATTTTAAAAAAATATAAGGAAAGATGTGATTCTTTTATTTTTAAAAAATTTTTTTGAACTAAATATTAACGTTTAATTTTAAATTTTTTTTCAAAATGCGCAATAGGTAGTTTAGAAAACCTATTAAGAATCCTTATTTTAACATTAAACATCTAAGAAAAAGACTAACAATAAGCGTTAACCCGCTCTCCCATAGGTTTAATTTATGTCAAAATTTGTTCAATCAGGCTAATTTTCATGTCATTCAAATCAGCTCGATGAGCTGATTCAAATGAGGTATTTGTAAAATTAAATATTTTTCTCGAAATAAAAACCATTTGCTGATCTCCAAAGTGATAGGCAAAATCTTATAGGATTGATCATAATTCATTTTCTATGAATAAAGTTAAAAAAATATCTTAACTAAAAAACATGATGATGATGATCTCCTTTCTAATTTAGCTCCTCCTAACATTCCTTTTATCTACATATAATGTGTGAAGGAAAGAATGATTGACAGTAAAAAATCATTCGAGACTTATAGATAGGGGTGGGTGGACCAATAGTTTAGAATAGAGAGGTGGGTGGGGGGGGGGGGTATTTGAGAAAAAAACTAAGTATATCAACAAGGTACCAAAACAATTAGCATTTTTAATCGAAAATTTCTTTTTCAATTTTTAAAAATTCACGCGCTCCTCTAAAGCCATTTAAATATTCTTTTTATTTTTTCCTATTCTTTCCCAATTTTTTTCTTTCTAGCCAGTCACCTTAAAAATTTTGGCCATACTTCCTTATTTAATAGAAAGAGAAAGAAGCTTTATGTTTGAGGGGGGTAATCGTTAAAAGAAATAAAAATGAAAGGAAAAAGCACGTGTTTTTATGTAGAAAATTGATGGACATTTTAAAAATATTTTTTAATCAAAAACTTAAAAATAAAATAATCAAAAATCTCTATTTTATGGACACAAAAAATATTTTTCTAAATTAAAAAAATATTTTTGCAGGGAATGAGCATAAATTGCAGCATAAACCTCAAAGAAAACGAAATTAATGAAAATAAAAATATTGTTGAGAATAGTAATGTTGCTATAGTTGATTGTTGCCAATCACCTAGTTATTCGGCTACCAACAATTTTTTGAATGTATCACATCCAATGGTTAGGCAATCCTCTGATACTACACAGGTAGTAGATACAAAATATTTTTCGAAAAAAATTTCTTTAAAGAATCGGAGAGGTAGAAAGCTAAGTCGATCATCTGCCTTTGATAATGGTGAACCTGGTACTTCTACCACAGGTGGAACTCAACGGGATAGGCCTGCTACTTCCTGTCTTGGACAGAATGAGGTGTTTTAAATACTTTAAAATTTATCCTCGACATCCTCTTTCGTTTCCTTTGTTTGAATTAAATCGGGGTTACTCTTGAATGAATGCTAGATTCAATACCCAAAATAATGCCAATACTAGATATGGTTGGTTACTGGGTAAGGAAGGTAGGGAGAAAGGTGGAGCTGCCAAAGATATACCCCCATTTAATATACACATTATTGTATCCAACCTTTTCTGATCTAATACTGGCGTTTGTGACCGATAATTTTCCAAGACTTGACCCAAACGAGAAAGTACTTTGGTCCAGATAATTCATTCAATGGTGTGTCGGACTAAAACCTTGGTTAAAACATTCCTCTAGAAAAGTCTTGATCCAGCGAAGTTCCCTTCACACTACTGTGGGTGTTCCTTACAAAGTACAAATATTTAATTTTTATTATTAATCCATTTAAATATTCTTTCCTTTATAAAAACTAAAAAATTGGCCTAATTCCACCTAAAAATTCCATTTTTGGCACTCACTCAAAAACCCAAAAAAATCCCTAAAATTTTCCTATTTTCTTTGGCATTATTCCTTTAAAAATACACAAATTCACTACCGATATACCCTTCCATCCCTTAAGAGCCATGAAATTGGATACTTACACATCCTTGGGGAAAATAAGAGAGGTAGCAATAAGAGGATTTTTAAAGGCTTTTTGGAATCGTTTAAAAAAGGAGGGGGAAGAAGGGTTTGTTTATAAACGAGAAGAAATGTCCAAAATTTTGGGCCAAAAAGATGAAGATTAAAAGAAGGAATAAGTAAGTATACCTCCAGTCAATTGGACTGGCACGTTTCGACGCTGTAACGTTTTGGGTGTAAATATTCGGAAGGATTGAACGCACACAGACATTTTGGGGACGAGACAACTTGATGTACCTTAGGCCCAGCGAAGTTTAAAATCCTTAGATTCCATTCTGTCAATCTAAGGATCTCAAATCTTGGTTAGGCTTCGTCCGTTGCTAACTCTCGGAGCCATACCCAGCACTGAAATCAAGTCTAATTTCTATTTTAACCAAGAGTGGGCATTCCTACTTACAATTTCATAAACAAAATTCTTAGATTCCATTCTGTCTTCTGTTCATCCTGACAGATTTTTTTATTCTTTTTCAACACTTGATTGAAGTTCTCCTCCTCGCTCACTGTAGAATATCCTATAATTGGTAAAGATAGCGTCCCCAAATCACCGCGCCAAACCTTCCCTGCCTATTGGACTACGAAATTGAAAAAAACATCAAAATTGAGTTAGGTCAATTCAAAACCGTCAAAAACCCTTGTAAACACTTAAAACCCACACAAATACCCCTTAAAAGCTATAATCCCTATTCTCCGAAAATTGGAAAAACAGCCGACAAATAAAGGAAAAGAGGGAGAAAATTAAATGAAAAGCATATTACACACACGTGTTTTGTATTTTTATTTATTTATTTTTGAAAAGAGCAGCTCGAGGTTGAGTGCAAATATGGATAAACAAAAAACCTTTATTTTTACTTCCATATATTTTTATTGGCAATATTTTTTTGTGTTATAGCCTTTGAAAACCATACAAAAATATTCGTTCCTCTCTCTACTAGAGATGTTCCTTTTGCATTACTTTGGGTCTCTATACACATTCCCTGGGTGTCTCCTTAATATTATCTTCACATTGTCTTGCTCGTCTTCACTTTACCATGGTTATCCCCTTCATAATCCTAAAACACAATTACCCTTAACCTACTGGAAGTTTGTGTGGGCTAACCCATCTATCTAGAATATTTTATTTGAACACATTCCTGAAATCCATGCTTTTCCTACAGGAAATGGTGGCCGAAAATTCAAAATCTTAGTGGTTCAATTCACCTTACCTTTGTTCCCTTCACACTATCTTCCCGCACTATTAGAGATTTTCTTTTAATTTATTCAAAATACATATTTGATTATTATTAATTAATTTTTTATAGATGAGATTTTGTTCTCCTACACAATGTACAAATGTAATACAAATGGTAAATTTAATTATTTTTAATTTTAAGTCACAGATCACAAAATTGTATTTTAGACAAACGTTGTTGACACTCAAGATGGTAGCAGTGACTACATTCAATTAAATCAGTACAAGCTTATGGAGGAGATTGCCCAGGGCTCTTACAGTATTGTCAAACTGGCATATAACGAGCAGGATCGAAATTTGTATGCGTTGAAGGTGCTTGACAAATTGAAGGTGAATAAAAATCTTTGATTTATAATTAAGGAATTATGTTAAATTTTAACGATGCCATAATATTACTTCCCTTTACATTACTAAGAATTTGTACCACAAAAGATGTCTCCATGATGTTCCTTACACACTATCTTATAGTACCCTTTTCACATTATTACCACGAGCGTGTTGATGATACTCCTTACACTACCAAATGATGTTCCTTACAGACCTTCCAATCATTTCGGATTCCCGTCCATTTTTGGAATCAAAATTTTTGAAAATCGCTAGACCCAGCCTTAAACCCTTTGGGTTATATTTTTCACACTCCCTCATAATGTTCTTAATAAAATTAAATTTTCATTTTTTTAGTTGGTCAAAAACTTTGCCTGTTTTCGTCCTCCACCTCTCCGAAAGTGTGGAGGAAGTACACAAAACAATCCTCCAACCTCCCAACAGTCATTATCTGTACACAGAAACCCTTTGCAATTAGTGCAACGAGAAATTGCCATATTAAAGAAACTTGCACATCCAAATGTTGTTAAACTAGTGGAGGTACTAGACGATCCTCAGGTAGAAATTCAAATAATTTCTTATTTTTTATTTTCCATAACGTATTTTTAAATTGGCATTTTATCACAGCCTCTGAGACTCCTAAATATTTTAATTTTCCAAAAAATTATTTTAAGGATAATTTCCTCTATATGGTCTTCGAATATATGGAAAGGCGTTCTTTAATGGAATTACCTACTCAAAACCCGTTGAATGAACAATTAGCTTGGAAATATTTTAGAGATACACTTAAAGGATTGGAATACCGTAATTATTTTTAAAAAATTTAAAATTATGAGAAATATCTTTGCCCTGGAAATTGTATTTTTAAAAATTTTTTTAAAAATTAGTTTAAAAAACGGACAATTGTTACAACGCAATATGGGCCTGGATATCCATATAAAATTTATTGGATCAAATTATAGAGATATATTTATATAACCAAGTGCCCAAACAAACCGCCACCACAAGCTTTAGAAATTTCAAAAAATTTAAAATATTTTTTGATAAAATTTTTAAATTTAATTTATTTTTAGTCCACTATCAGAAAATTGTACATCGCGATCTCAAAGTGAAAAAATTTTTTTAGTTAAAAAAATTCTTTTTTAATTTTTAGCCCTCAAATTTACTTTTATCAGAGTCTAATTCTGTCAAGGTGAATAATTTAGAAATTTAAAAACTTATTTTAAAAGATTGCCGATTTTGGTGTTTCTTGTGAATTTGAAGGAATTGATGCTTTTTTGACTGGGACTGCTGGTGAAAATTAAATTTAAAATTAAAAAAGAAATGAAATTAAATTTCCAAAAGGTACCCCAGCATTTATGGCCCCGGAGGCACTCTCAGAAAATTCAAATCAATTTTACAGCGGACGTGCTCAGGATATTTGGTCGCTTGGGTAAGGAGGCTTGTTAAGAATTAAAAATAAACGGGAATAAAAAGAGTTTATTTTTCTGGAAACTTCAGATATATTTTTAATTTTTCCGTAAAGCATTGATTTACGGGAATTCCTTTCATCCCTTAAATTATTCATTCTTCGGAAAGTTTATTTAAATTAACAATAAATTCTCCAGAATTATTTAATATTTTTTACAGAATTACTTTATATGCACTTGTTTTTGGAAATGTGCCTTGGTATGACCCTTATGTTATTGGTAAAATAAAATATATTATTTATTTATAAAATTATTTATTTTTAATAGCTCTCTACAAAAAAATAAAAAATGACCCAGTAACACTTCCAGAGAATATACCAATTAGTGACCCTCTCAAAGGGTTAATACTTGGGTAGGTTTTGAGAATAAATTAATTTAAAAAAATTTATAAAATTAAATAAACCTTTCCGGAAAAAAAATAAAATTTCGGAAAAATTTAATATCTCCTCAATAAGTTTTGACTGGAAAACAAGCCTAAAAACTTTCCGGAAAGAATTTAAATGTTAAACTAACCTTCCGGAAAAGGTTGATTTAATATAAATAAACTTTAAATAAAATAAACCTTTCCAGAAATTATAAATTGTTTTTTTAATTTTAGAATGTTATGTAAAGACCCAGGATTGAGATACGACATTATGCAGGCAAATATTTTATTTTTTTATTAATAAAATTAAAAAAAAATGATTTATAGATAAAAGAGCATTTCTGGGTTACTAAAAATGTAATTTATTTAATTTTTAAAAATTAAATTTTTTTTCAATTTTTAAGGGAAAAGTTTTAATGCCCACAGAAGAAGAAAATTGTTCCCTCGTCACTGGTAAATTAAAAAAATTTTTTCAAATAATTTTTGTTCTCTTTTCAGTTACTCAAGAGGAGGTTAATCAAGCTGTTCGTATCATTCCTCATCTTGGAACTTTAATTCTTGTGAAGGTTGATAATTGTTAAAATTTAAATAAAATAAAAAATTAATTTTATATTTAGGCTATGGGAAGGAAAAAGCATTTTGGGTAATTTTTATTTTTTTATTTTTTCCTGATAAAAAGACAAATGAAAAAATTAAATTTTTGGTCTATCAAAATTGGAAATAAATTTTAATTAAAAATTGAGAAAAAATTAATAATATTTTATATTATAGAAATCCATTTCGCGAACCAGTCATTGAAAACGATTCGTTGTTAGAACATCCAGGGAGGAGACATCGAAGGAAATCTTCGTCGGTTTTTTTGAAAAAAATTATTCTAAAAATATTTTTAGAATCTTTAAATAATTTTCTTAAATTTCTAGATTGCCAGAAGGCAGTGTCACAGCTTCTCCAGTCCGTTCC